ACTATAAACATAGAAGTAACTCTAAGACTAGAAGGTCCCGAAATAATGTGCTCAAGTTTTTGGCTCAGCTCTGGTACTCTCTTCGGTCCCAAGCTAATCGATTCACCCCTCGAAACACAGAAAAATCCACTATCCCTTCATTTTATCTGTCAAACTTTCATAGCGAATCAAAACAAACATTGCGTAGTACTAGAATTTCGACTAGAATGGGGTACGTTAATCGTTTGCTTGGGACCAATAGGCTAGTCAAGTAGTGAGCCAATTTTAAATCGTTAGTTTCGTATTGATTGTTGCTATAAGTTCACTCATCTCGGCACTATAATAAATATTATAGTGTCGGAACCCAAAAATAGGTAAACCCGCATGAATGCGAACCATTACTTGACCTTACCGAAAATGGTTAAAAATTGTTTATAATCCTTGCTAAACTTTAACTGCAATGGTTACGGAACTTTACATGAACGTTTGTGTCATAAATTTTTAACCTTATCTATTATGGTTCTTTGAAAGTGAACCTTACAAATAATAGGTTGTTAAGAATGGTAACAAAATAGTTGTTTTCTCCATGCATTTTCGGAGAGAAGACAATATTAGAACCTTTTTACTAATGGTTTGAGAACTTTAATGGTAATGGTTATGTTAGCTAGTAAGGTCCATTAATGGTTTTGTACTATCGGTCAACTTCACGTGGAATATATTGCGAATTGGTAATCAGTAATTTACAGGCAACCAATTCGCGATATATTCCACATAAAGTTGATCGATGTTACAAAACCATCTATGAACCTTACCGACTACCATAACCATTACCATTAAAGTACTCAAATAATAAATAAAATGGTTCCAATATAATTCCTTTACCAAAAATATATGGAGAAAACAAGAATTTGGAATGGTAATGGTTCTTAACAACCCATTATTTGTAAGGTTCCCTTCCAAAAAACATAATACATAAAGTTAAAACTTTATCACACAAACGTTCATGTAAAGTTCCATAACCATTTCAGTCATGCTTGGCATGCACAATTGTATACACCAACTGCTCATTACCCTAATAAAAAAAATACCATACCTGAACCATAACCCATATTATATAACTATTCCACAAATGGTTTGGATGATACCCTGAACACGTCGTTAAGCAAAATAACCATACAAATTTTATTAGGGTAGTTAATAACTTTCCACTTAGTTGTTGAAATTTGTTTTTCTTTAAAGTAATTGATAGATTGGAATCATCTTACTATAGATATGCAAAAAGTAGGTAAATCTTAGCATTTGAATCAACACCAATGAATTTTTACGCTTATAGTCCGAGATGTGCAGCGAGCATTTCTCACTTCATTTTTACAACGCAAAAACAAATACAGTTTATTACTAGAACTAAAATCTTCTTCTTTTTTACGTATCTACACACAAAAAATTATCGTTGTTGAAATTAAAAAAATCGTTGGTAGAATTAAAAGTTTGCGTTGGTTCTTTTTGGTAGAAAGCGGTTAGCTTTCAAAATAAAAGTTAGCCAACTGTCAAATCAAAAGTAGTCCACTCACTACTTTTAAAAGTTTGAACTTTCAAAATGAATTGTACTACTGTCAATTCAAAAGCATCACAGTGTTGAAATTAAAAGTGGATTATTTTTTAACCAAAACAAACTATTAACATGAAAGTTCCTTACTGTTACAATAATATGTACCATTTCGATTTAAAAAATCAATATTTTCAGTATGAATACCAGCATTTTCAATCATAACAATCAAATTTTTCATTTAAAAATCTATTAATTATAAAATTCCTATTTTTGTGCTTCAATTTCAAATTCCAAAAATAAATTTATGTTTTAATATTGAATATTTTTATAGTTTACATGATAATTATTAGATTTTTGTATGGTTAGATAGACGTCGTATAGCAGCAGTCAGATTTTGCACTGCATCATCCATGTCTGTTGTGGTCCAGTACGGAGCAACAAACTCAATGAACTGGTGGCTTCGCAGAGGACATGTTCTATGTGGGAAGCAGCCAGCGAAGCGTCGTGGATCTAATCTAGAATGGTATATAGAAATTAATGAGAGTGTAAAAGTAAGGGGTATAATCTGAAATAATCTTGTCCAAGCAGGGGGAAATTTAAGGTCACTTACTGGAATCTTTGTCGGACATTTGCGAGGTTTGCGTCTGTTCGAGAGTTTCTTGTGCTCGTGTTCGATTTCACTACCGGCATTGGCCAGCTGCTCGTTTCTAGAGCCGTATAGACGTCCTTCAGGTAGTTCCAGGTAGGTTTTCACGTTCTAATGGACGACCGGATTCTACTGAAAGATTAAATATTTTATTCTTGATCGAGACAGGGAATAATTTCAATACTCAACTGTTGCATGGGTCGATGCACAGGCTGGTGGCTGGTAAAATGTTCCACCTAATGTTTAGCGCGTTTTGTTTTTATATACTCACGCTACCGTAGAATAACCCATAAAAAGGTAGAAATCTACCCATGAAGAAGTAAATTTGACAGTAAAACAATTTTCGATTTGAAAATTTGAGCTTTTAAAACTACAAGATAAGATCAAAACATTCGTTTTTGAATTGAAAATAACATTATTAAATTAAATATCTTCGTAGTTAGGGTAACGAATTTGTTGATACTTTTAAATTGAAAGTTCAATATTTTTACTGGTACAATTTTTGTTTTTTGTGTGTATAAAAAGCTTAAACTCTATTCTATCTTTTACTTCAAAAAGAACTACGTTTCGTCAACCGTGGTCAAAGTTATTAGCAAATGAGCAGTTCGTGACCAAAACTGTGTATGCCAAGCATGATTTCAGTTATAGTTTAGTAGAGATTATAAACAATTTTTAACCATTTTCGATAAGCTCAAGTTATGGTTCGCATGTGAACAAAGTCCTAGAGCATTCACATTTGACCAATAGATGCTCTGAAAAACAATGTATCCACATGCCAAAATTGAGCTTTCAATTATTCAAGAGCAAATTTTCAATATGTCGTAAGTAACATTCGCACCAATCCGAGAAAAATAAAGTTTTGATGATGACCGAAAAGTTATTCCTATTTCCAAGTAAACACATATAATCTCATAGTGATAGCAATGTTTAACATATTTAGCAGGGTTTTAATCATACAAATGCAAATCGCTAGCTTTCATGCTAAAAAATACTGGTTTTTGAGTCAAAAGTTATTATACGTCGTTTGGTGGCCCCTATTGTTACTTAAGTCAAAGTGTATTTACCAGGATATTCGGGAGAATTATCAATTACGTCTCCTTACGTGCAGCCCATTCATCATTTTAGGACCACGGAAATCATCTTAGCAACAAACAGTTCGATTTATTCACTTTAATAATGAGAAAGCGAAACGACGAACGTACACTTTTCACGGGTTTCTCAGCGCTGTTACTTAAGTCAAACGGCATCTCCATAGAAATTGAGTGACTTAAGTAACATCGAAAACTATTTTGATCGGAAGGTGATTACGTCAAAAAGCAATTTGGCTGGCAAATAAATTTAAAAATGGGATTTGATCCTATATTCTGACAGTATATAGCGTAATAGCAGGAGAATCGATTGACACTGATAGCTCGACTTTGTTTACCTTTGTTACATTCGACGTAATGAAAATTTGCTCTTGATGTTGTTAATCCTCCTGACGATAATAGAATAAGGTATTGCCGAAGCCGTCATTTACCCTACTTGTGTGCAATTCGTATGGAATTTTCCACTAGCTTTCTACCCAAAAGTAAGTTTGTTGCACCCAACAGTAGGTAAATATGATTATACTCAACGTTGAGTTCCTACATTTTACTACCCCTGTCGGGTGGTTTTTCTCCTCCGTTGTTGACATCATTAGAAGGAGAAAAGGAGACAAACTAATCAAAAGTAGGTAAAAGTTAATTGGCCGTTATGGGCTTTTTTCTTACCGTGTACAAATGTATCCGCGGCAATCCGGCAATGCGGCAATACTCTATTTTGAGTAAGATAAAACGTGCGTGTATTTACCTTGGAGGATGGAGCTAACCTCACACACTCGCTTGTTTATTATCAAATTTTAACAAAAGCAAACGGAGCAGGTATACCTACCTATTATATTGAAATTTATTATTGGCGTCTTGCAGTGAAACTTTTCCAAGCTTTCGCCTCCTACATTTCGAAGTGAGAACTACTAGAAGGAGGATAGTTTCCAAATTCTCCAAGTAAAACAGACGATTTTTGGGGCAAATCGGCCCATAAAGAAAAACTAATAATTTCCCGTGGAAACTTTTGCTTGAATCGTGTAAGAAAACGTGTTTGAAAACTAATTGTTATTATTTCGGTATGGATCGGAGAGGTTTTCATGGAAAATTATGCATAACAAGTTTGCACCCACAGCGAGAGGTTACCTCCTGCGCAGCTGCATTTTTCGGAAAATGGTGAATATGTGTGATTTCCTTTAAGATGAAAGTGGAAATTAAGTTTATTTACTTAGGAAAGGTTGTATCATGCTGGTGGTAATGGAGAATTGGTTGTATAGGACGCCAATATTCAATAAATGTTCATTTTGGCCTTTTCTAAGCAAACATATTGATACTCACAATTTTCGACGGAAAATGCAACGGAACTTGATTTACTCAACACGCACCATACTATAAAATGGTGCTAGATGGTCTTCAAAGTGATAACAAGATGACAAATCATATTTATTTTGAGTAATTGAGCAATTTACTTCTGTTTACCATCATATATACGATGCAGCATTGATGGAGCCGTGAAATGAAATGAATATATCTTATGAAAGTTCACCTGGAAAAGTCAAAGATTCACATTAGTCTGATCGTAAAAACGTTTTCTTCTTCAATTCAAATGTTATATTGGAAGGATTTCACGCAGGCTTGATGAAAATTATGATTTAATGCTAATTTTCAAGAATTTTATATGCAGTCTGTCAACATTATCATCATCATGCAGTGGCGACATCTGCGTTGAGCTTTTGCGGCAATCTTCCAATAGTTTTTCGAGTGTTTTATCATTCAATCTTGGTCTGGAGTTTGAATTTTACTAAATACTTCTAAATACTATTTCAATGGACAAAAAGTAAACAGTAAACGAAATGGATCCCTCCGCAATTTGTCGAGCTTGTCTCTCTAGAACCGGCGATAAGTACCGTGCACTATTCAAGGAATCCCTCATCTGCAGCGAAAAACGACGGTTCATTGATCTCCTAATGGAATGCATCCCGACGCTTCAGGTATGAAACATGTGCTAGAAAGTCATGGTAATTTAGGATAAAGCCAAGAAAATAAATCAGTCTTATGTTACAGGTTGCGGAACACGATACTCTTCCGAGAACCATATGTGGAAGATGCGCCTTAACTTTAAAACACTTCATTCGCTTCCGAAAGAAATGCTTGCAAGCAGATGAGGAACTAAGGACACGTCCTGAGTTGTATGCCAGAACCGAACCCGGCAAGGCATCGGAAAACCTGAAGCATTCCGATGAAAGTGACTCAGATGACGAAAGTGAATGTAACAATGTAACAGCTGTTGAGATAAAGACAGCTCAAGAAAAAGAAGAGAGCGTTCCAGATGTCGAAGGAACTGATAATTTAGTAGACATTGTAAGCAATTCCTGTGAACAATACGAAATACGCTCAATTGAATCTTTGGAGAGCAATGAGAAAGACGACTCGATCCACACATTTCAGTGTAGCTATTGTAACAAGGTCCTGCGCACTAGCAAATCGTACAAATACCACATGCAACTTCACTCCGAAATCGCCAACTTTTTGTGCAACTGCTGTGGCGAACGATTCAAGACGAAGATGGCTTACGTTGGACATATGGCTAGTCATGACCCGGACAGGTTCAAGTGTGACATTTGCGGAAAATCATACCGGCAGGCAGCGTCGCTTCGGAATCATAAGCTCAATCATAGCCAGGAGAAACCTTTCGTTTGCACGGTTTGCGGTCACTCAACGACTCAGAAGAGTGGTCTCAAGAAGCACATGTTGACGCACTCCGAGAGCAAATCATACGTTTGTGACTTGTGCGGGGATCATTTTCGATTTTCCAGCAATCTCATCATGCACAAGCGTCGGAAACACTCGGTGGTGAAGAACTATGCCTGCCCAAATTGTCCGAAGGCATTCGTGTCCAAGGACGAACTGTTGAATCACTCGATGTGCCACACGGACGAGCGGCCTTTCGAGTGCGAGAAGTGCCAGAAAACATTTAATCGGAAGAATTCGCTTCAGTTCCATCAGAAGCACAAACATTCGATCATGGCGAAGCACGCCTGTCACGTATGCGGCAAGGGATTCGCACAGAAGGTGTCGATGCAGAATCATCTGAAGACGCACCTATTGACGGATTGAGAATTCCAGTTTTTTTTTAAAATAGAAACCCTGCTAATCTAATACATTACTGAGTAACGCACGTAGCTGAATATTTCTCTACGGTAGGATAAAAAAAAACTTAAATTGATCGAATCCAGTTTATTCAGCCTTATCTTAATTCATACACAAAAAGAAAGCAAAACAAGCCGCACACACATTTAGGAAGCCCCTTCGATGGCCACCTCAGTGATTCCGTGCACATAGAAAGCACCCTCCGCAACGTAACGTCTCAGCTCGGAAGCCGTCTGCTCATCGAATACAGTCGACGATGTGAGCATCCGAATCACTTCGTACTTGTCTAGAACGACATCCTTATCGGCTTCCTGCTTTCGATCCAAGAGGTACTCCACGAAGCCTCCCGTATTCAGCAGATAGGTCTGGCCCCATCGGTGGCCAACGATGGCTTTGAGCAACCCTAGTGCGGCACGCTTCATATCCGGGAAGGGATTCCTGATGTAGTCCATTACCAGGTTAAGATTGTCCTGCTCACTTAGGTAGTCGTACCAGGTTTGGGTGATGGTTCTAAAAAAAATAATTCCCGATTAGTTTCCATTGAAGTTCATCTCAAATTCTGATTGCACTTACGTTATCTGATTATCCGCGTTGACTGCATCGATTAAGAACATTGATCGCAAGCAGTTCAGCAGACGAATTTTTAAATCATTCGGCAAATTGCGGATTATGATGCTGAAATGATGCAGCGTCTTCTTCAACGATGCACCATATTTGTAGTGAATCTGTCGCTTTCCCTCGCTCGGTTGTGCAATGCAGCCCAGGGTATCGTAAGCGGTAGGCAGTATGGACATGTCTTCCGACTGTAGGCACTCAAACAGCAACTCGATAACTTTCGGATACCCATCGTAGACATTAGCCGGATGAATCGCCGCAATGTTTCCGTAGAATTTCATCAAACCCGGAACCAGAATCGCCGCCAGAGGGTCTTCCTCCAAATGATCAATCTTCGCCATGAGCTTACCAAATACGCCATTGTTTTCCAGGTAAGCCATTCCATGATTACCCACAGACAACTCGGACAAAATCTGCAGAACATTCAATTGCAGCAGAATATCGCTCCCATCTAGTTCCTGTACAGCCTTCTGCAAGAATTTTTCAACTGAAGCCAACAATTCCTCCGATTGACGACCTAACTTAACAGCCAGTTCATACAATCTACACCGGACGACATCACCTTTGTTCAGCAGCCCTTCCAAGTTCTCCTGGACGCTTCTCAGCTGGACGAACTTGGGTAGCATCAGCCGTAGTATCTCGATCGAAGGTGTTCCGACGCTGATATCATCCGATGCCAAGCATTTGATCACCAGCAGGATCAGCGTTTCATTGATGAAGTTCTCCGGCGGTGAAGCCAGGATGCGAGCAAGCTCGCGCAATCCGAATGTCTGCACTTTGGGATTGACATGACTCAACGATTTTTCGATAACATTCTTAACCTCGGTGGTCTCGTCGATTACGAGGGTACTCATGCAGATCGATAGAATGTCACATGCCAGCAGCGTCTGTTCGCTGTTGTAATTCCAAGATGAAGATATCGATCATTTTGGGCGTATTGTTGTAGTAAAATGGCGAGATTCTTACCTGTTGGCATCCTCCAAGCAGTTGAGAAGCTCCGGTGATTTCAGAAAGCTGTTGGAGATGGACGAGTTGTTGGATGAAATCAGAGTGTTTTTGATCTCCGTCAGAGCGTTTTTACGCGTCTCTTCCAGTTGTAGATTAGCTAATAGCTCTTGGCACAGATTTTCATCCATTTTAATCTTCGGCTAACTGGAGATCTCGTTATTTTACTAACAATTAGAGCTGATCAACTTGAATTCCGCAGCGTAATAATTTGCAACTGTATATGAAATAAATAACAATAACAAAAAGGGCACGAGGGCTTCTTCGGCGTACACGGTCGGCATCTTGCACTGAAAAAAATAGGGTCATATTTATTTAAATAGGGGAACACTGTAACTGGCGAGTACCCATTAATGGGTGAAAAATTACCCATTTTGTGGTAGTGTATGGACCTGTCAAAAAATGCGTAAATGAAAATTTCAAATAGTGGGTACTTTTTCACCCATTTCCGAAACCTGTTCAGGGATCAAAAATGGGTACATATTTACCCATTATTGGGTGAAAAATATCTTTGTTGCACCATAACGTTGCTGACATACTTGGTTTACATTTTCGAGTGCATTTGTTCCGAAAACTACAAAAAGTGATATATATGAATAGTTTAAAGAATGGTGATAGCTTCAAAAAGCTTCAAGGTAAGAAATGCTATATGATTTGAATGATTTCTTAGCTTATAACGTTGTTAAAAGCATATTTGTTTCATGCCACAAATTTGAGTCCCATAAATACATTTTAAAAAATGGGTACTTTTTTACCCAGTTACGGAAAACAATGCGTTCTGGAAATGGGTAAAAAGTACCCCATGATTTGACGTATAAGCTCTTTACCCATTAGTGGGTAAAGACGTTTTACCCATTTTATGAGTTTACCTACTTTACCGCGAAATGGGCACTTTTTCACCCATTAATGGGTACTTTCCAGTTACAGTGAAGTGTATTGTCGCGCTTATGTTAAATTCTCATTTGGTGACCACAAACGAAGTTACAGACGACTAACTGGCGAAGAAATCCATTTAAATAATGTGGTTCACTGTAATAGAATTTTCTTGGAAGCTTGTGCCATCATCCACCAGATGGGATAGTATTTTTGTTTTGGATTTGCACAAAGTTGATCTTGTGTACAATGATTCTTTGACAGTGTGCAAAGAGTGCGTATCATTTTGTCATTTTTTTATGCATTTCAGTTTTGAGTAGAGTGAAAGAGATAGAACCAAAACATTCTAGTACATTTGGTGAAAATGCTAGTTCAATCCAGTAGTAGTGTTGCCATATGGTTCAATCCAGTAGTAGTGGTGTTGCCATGTGGTACACTGAAAAATTGCAATAGCAGGTTAGTCACCAAAGTTTTCGAGCCGCTCCGTCTGTCACTTCGTTTGTGTTGGTGACTGTCGAAACGCGCCGCTCATAAGTGCGATGCTATCCCGCCCATAAGAATTATACACAGGTGTGTAACTTAGATAGTATTTTATGGCAGCGGCTTGAGGAGTGAATCCTGGATAAATAGCCGCCGTGTGTTAAATCAATGGGCGCAGTCGTACGGCCATAAACAGAAAGCAGATTCAAGACCAACAATTGAAATGGCCTTAACTCCTTTTTGTAAACAAATCTTGTAAGGCCATTTTCTCGCAAACCGAACTCCACAAAGACAAACCAACATAATGGAACAGGTAGGGGTTCTCCTCTACCCGATTGTGGTTTAGGTTTGCAAATGAAGGTTTCGGTTCGCGAGAAAATGGCCTTACAAGGTTTGTTTACAAAATGGAGTTAAGGCCATTTCAATTGTTGGTCTTGAGATGGTATAATCAACAATCAATACGAAACTAACGATTTGAAATTGGCTCACTACTTGACTAGCCTATTGGTCCCAAGCAAACGATTAACGTACTCCATTCTAAACGAAATTCTACTACTACACAATGTTTGTTTTGATTCGCTATGAAAGTTTGACAGATAAAATGAGGGGTTAGTGGATTTTCTTACGTTTCAAGGGGTGAGTAAAGCCGTTGGTCCCCGGTTCATGAGTTGATGGGTCGATAGGTAGGGTCCAGGTGTGGGAGCTGCCTTCCTGGCACGTCGGTAGCATTGGTGATCAGCATGGAAAACAAGATCGACGGAAAAAACAAACCAAAGGAAAAAAAAAGGGGTGAATCGATTAGCTTGGGACCGAAGAGAGTACCAGAGCTGAGCCAAAAAGTTGAGCACGTTATTTCGGGACCTTCTAGTCTTAGAGTTACCTCTATGGCCATTTCCCCTATCTGATGGGAATAAATTCCAACGGATTCTTCGAATTATACCATTGAGGGGTGCATCTTAGCATACCTCAAAGTCGTTTAAGAATACCTCGATATCGGTAAAATACCGATAATCGAAGAAGTGCACATACCTAAATTACCGAATTACCAAAAATTTACGTTATAAATGTCCTTATTTATAGTAAAAATCTCGGTAAAAATAGCCTATTTTAAGTAAAAAGTGACAATTTTTAGTGGTAAAAAATACCGTTCATTTTAGGTAATCGTAGCTTATGCTATGTTCAGACTACGGAGTTGTATCAACCGGTGGAGACTAATTTTTTTTTAATTGGCACACTACTTGACTAGCCTATTGGTCCCAAGCAAATCGATTAACGTACTTCATTTTAGTCGAAATTCTAGTACTACACTATGTTTGTTTTAATTCGCTATGAAAGTTTGACAGACTTTTTTTTAATACGTTTATTTTTCCAGGCTCGTTTGCTGTAGCTTTGCGGAGTCGATATTCATTGTTTAGATAACAAAATTACTTAAAACTAACGTTAGTAAAGCGGGTGCCGATTACTCGCGGCTATCTCGAGGTTAGGGGTAACAAATTGTAACAAATGGATGGCAGGGTAGGGATTGTGAACACAAGGTTTGGAGAGCAATGTGCTCTTGATCTCGAACTAGGCGACACTCTGATGAAAAAGACAAACATGGGGGTACACCGATGGGCAGCTAACAACTTGGGAGAACACCAGATGTCACTAACTACTAAATCTTCAAATCTATCCGTTTTAAAAGCACATAAATTAAATTCAAATCGTTGAGGTCTCGGCTCGCCAAGACATCTCTAACGGGTATCGCGGGTTGTTTCCTCGGGCCCTGAGGGATGTGGATAACTCAGATCTGGCAACACGGTGTAAGGTACATGACCAAACAACATGCTCGATATCGTGATAACCACTGCCACACGCACATAAATTGCTGCCTGAGAGCCCAATTCGATAGAAGTGCGAGTCTAATGAGCAGTAATTGGACATAAGCCTTGATATAACGCGTATAAAGTCGCGGCTCATGTCCAACCCTTTGAACCATGGTTTGTTCGACACCTGTGAGAGAATAGAATGTAACCATCTTCCCAATTCACCATCATTCCATTTTTGTTGCCAACTGATGAGGGCTTGCTGACGAGCAATGGAGAAAAATTCGTTGAAGGCGATTTGTCGCTCAAAAATATCGCGTTCCATAGCGCCCACCTTAGCCAATGAGTCCGCTTTCTCATTACCCGTAATTGAGCAATGAGATGGGATCCAAGCTAAGGTGATATTATAGGAGCAGTTCGATAAAGCACTCAGTTTAGATTGTATTTCAGGCAGGAAATACGAGGAGTGCTTCATCAGCCTCATTGAACGAATAGCCTCCAATGAGCTAAGACTATCTGTAAAAATGAAATAATGGTCAGAAGGTAGTGAGGCAATTCGCTCTACTGCGTAAAATATAGCTGCGAGTTCCACAACGTATACGGAGCATGGTTTCAGCAGTTTATAGGAGGCGCTATGAAATTGATTAAATACACCAAATCCAGTGGAAGCATTTATGGTTGACCCATCTGTGAAAAATCTTTTATCGTTACTTACATGGTGGTACTTGATTGCAAAATTTGAGAGAACAACCATCGACCGATGGTGATCTGGTATTCCTTGGATTTCTAGCATCATGGTCAGATCAAAATTTACAGAGGAACTATAGAAGGCTTGAAAGCAATCACGATTGGGGACTAATGAAGAAGGACCAACCTCCAGCGTCATGAACTCATAGTACAAACTCATTAATCTTGTTTGAGGATTTCGGTCGAGCAGCTTCTCAAAGAGAAACCGGAAAGACAGCTCAGCGAAACGATCTGTCAGTGGGAGGACACCCACGAGTACTTCGAGGCTCATCGTATGAGTCGAGTGTATACAGCCTAGCGCACTACGAAGGCAACGGTATTGAATCCGTTGCAGCTTCAGGATGTGTAGGTTTGACAGATAAAATGAGGGGTTCATGGATTTTCCTATGTTTCGAGGGGTGCATCGTACGAAGAGAGTACCAGAGCTGAGGCAACAAGTTGGGCACGTTTCTTCGGGACCTTCTAGTCTTAGAGTTACCTCTATGTCATAATTGGAACAATGGATTATCTGTCAAAGTCATAGGAAAAGTTATTCCAATCGAGTAGAAGACCTGTCAAATGGATAAGACGTCGCCTCTTTACCCAATTCAGTCTCTTTCCCATTTGTGGCACAGACTCAGGCAACTAGACTAGCAAAATTCTTAAGTTCCGTCTTATGAAGCTGCACAAAAAATCAAAATTTAGAATTCATAAGGCAACTATGCTTTCCATATATTACGTATGATTATCTTTACAACAACGTAAGATCGTCGTACATTGGATTTTCATTGACGCGCCTTATGAAATTCAATGCTGTCATTTGTGCGAAAAAGTCATAAGACAAACATATACAAAAGCAAAAATGGCGCCTATCGTAGTAGACGAACTAAAGCTCATTGCAGATTTTCTGAATGAAGCACCCGGAGTCAACTTGGAAGTATTCCGACGTAAGTTAAAATAATTGCTTTCACTTTATTAAATAAATAATCAAGGAAGGTATTTCAGGAGCTACATATTCGCATTCTAAACAGTGTCTAGATAACGTGACACTAGCCACGAAAAAAAACAGGTAGTGGAATCGTTCATGCTTCTCATCCTGAGAGCGTTGGCAGTTTCTGTCAAGCTAAGCAAGCTGGTTTCAAAAAGGTTATAATTTCATTTATATTCTATAGGTATGTTTATAAAACATAACTTTTGGTTTTGCTTTATTTCTTCTTTAACTGGTCCATATATTCCATAATATGGAGCAATAATATGGACCGACCAAAGTGAGTACATATAGGCATTATAATTAAATATGAAACTGAATATATTATATTCAGTTTCATATTTAATTATAATACCTATATGTACTCACCTTGGTCGGTCCTGTCATCGATGATCTGTCATTGGGGCTGGTCACAGTCGAGGCTTCCACAAACGTCACGTCTCCCGCGTCCCTTTTTTCAAAACAACCATCACTCGAGCGTTATTCATTTTTGTTTGTCAAATCTCGCGTAACATTTGAAAAGGGCCTATCAACAGCAACATCAGTAAACACAACTGGTAAGGCTCTTTACTCGCGAACTGAAGTACGCCCACGCAAACCAAGACCACTATCGGGAAGGGAAGAACTTTTCCTACCCGATGGTGTAGTTGGTTTCTTTAGGCGTAGTTCGGTTCGTAAGCAAAGGGCCTTACAAGTTTTGTTCACAAAAGCTGATAGGCCCTTTCAAATATTATGCGTGAACTGGAAGCGCATGCCAGGCAACAAAAAAAAATCGCGTTCGCGTTACTTCATTCATTTAAAGCTTCCTGTGCGAGTGTTGTTTTATGCGGAAAACAAATAATCCAATCTTGTTTTCATATAAAGCATAAACTGTTCTCGATTTCCTCGAGTTCGCACGACAAAATGGAAACCCGTTCATCGAACAGTCAGGGTACAGCAGGTGTAAATCCCCCGTCGGCCAGCGGTCCCAACATTTGCCGCGTCTGCCTGGTCAACGGAGGTACGCTGGCGGCGGTGCCGGGCGAAACCAAAGCGGCGATGGAATCGATTTTCACCACCGTCGGAGAGTACGAGGACAAAAGCCTCTACGGCATCCTGGTGGCAATTTGCACCCCGCTCGGCCAACGCGAGATGCTATCGGGAGGGGTGCCGGAACGGATTTGCCGTAGCTGCAAGTGGCGTTTGCTGGCGGCATACGAACTGCACCAGACTTGTCTCCGCAGCGACGATAAGCTGCGGGAGAGGGTGGACTTTAGGAAGAAGGTATGGAAATAGTACTTTGATTTCTATTCAATATGGCTTAACTTTGTTTATAACAGCAGCAGCAGCTTCAGCAACAAATCCAACAGGTTCCTGAAGGAGTAATGATCAAACAGGAAGTATTGGACCCAGATGAACAGGATTTCAATCAAAATACAACCGGAGATCCCGGAGATTTATCGTTCATGTTGCCGGATCACTATTTTCCGGAAGCAGAAAGCACACAGATGGAAAATACGACTGAGCTGCTCGAGGAGATGGCTTCGACCGTTGATCCAAACGAGTCGCTTTTCGAAGAACATTATAAACTGAACGACAAGGGTAACCACTCGTGCACTATTTGCGAGCAGGAATTTCCCTACAAAAGCCAATGTCGGTCGCACATTATCACTAAGCACGATCCGACTAAGCCATTCAAATGCGACGTGTGCCATTACACTCTGACGACGGAGATTCGCCTGATAAGGCATAAGGCATTGACCCATGGAATCGGGGTCATTAAAATCGATGCAATTTTAGATGAAAAGGACGATGTGGATACGGTTTACACCTGCCAGATTTGTTCGAAGACTTTCAATTCACTGGTTCGTTTCAAGCGACACAAGAATGTTCACGTTGCCTACAATAGGCCATTCAAGTGCGATATCTGCCTGTACCGGTTCCCGACCCGTGCTCAATTGACGCAGCATGCCAAAACGCATCAGGAAAAGCCAGCAGGGGAGGGCGAATCTGGTAATCCGGACAGCGAGTGGGCTTGTGAGTACTGCGATGAGAAGTTGCCCGGTAAACGGGCCCAAACGATGCACGTTCGACGGTTCCATCCGCAGGAACTGTTGCAGACAGAAACCAGGGAAAAGAATGACTACAAATGTATTATTTGCGAGGAAGCGTTTGCCAGGGAGAGTGTCCTTAATACGCACATGAAAATGCATGAGTTGTTGGCGTTCGAGAAGGAGAAAGAACAACGCCAGGAGCTGGAACAGTTGGTCAAGAAGGAATTGCAAGCCCAGCTACCGAACAAGAAGGATTCTGCCAATTCCAGTTCGTATGAGGCTTTAGGTGCCAACTTAGATTTGAGCAATGTTAATGTGAAGAAGAAAAGTGACGTTGATGTCGCTTTCGCTTGCATGATTTGCGATCAAGAGTTTGAAGAACGGGAATTGCTGCTGAAGCACCAGAAGAAACTGCACAAGGAACTGCAGTTGAACATCGTTTCAGGCACGCAGGACAATAGTGGTAAGATCACCTTCACTACACACTTCAGTAGTATTTCAATTTTATCAAACGTCATTATTTAATATTTTAGCTCAATTTGACTCGGCAAAAGATGAAAATTCCGACGACGAACCGATGGTCGTCGATCTGGACCCCTCTGAGTACTCGCAATCCCAATCGGACGGCGAATCCACACAGAAAGCAAGATCCGGTGGGCCAATGCCCAAATGTGATCTCTGTCAAAAGACGTTCATGTACAACTGCCTGCTGCAGACACACATTAAAAACAGCCATAGCGAAACGAAGCCCTTCGAGTGCAAGGTATGTCGGATGCGGTTCGGCTACCGGGGTTCTCTGCAGAAACACGAGCTGACGCATTCCGCTCAGAACATACGGCCGGGCGAGCACGGTTCCATCATGTACAAATGCAAGATCTGCTCGGCTAAATTCCTCGAGCTAAAAGCCCTGACCGTGCATCTTCGAACCCATCGCGGCGGGGGAGATTCGATCCAGCCAAAGAAAGTGGAAATATTCCAATGCTCTTCCTGTCCGCAGATATTCCAGGAGAAGGACAAATTCGATGCGCATGTAGCCAACGGCCATCGACCTGGCGGGGTTCAGCTGCAGCCGTCCGGTTCAGCTCACATGCGCAAAAATCCTGACCCGCGAAGGGTGGCAGAGCGGAAACCGATGAGTGACAAGGAGCGGTTCTTCGGGAGCTTATCGATCGTTAAGCTCGAACAACCGGCGGAACGTGTCCGAATGGAGACTTTGTGAGAGCAGTTCGATCGATGAGCTGCTGCAGTTGTGTTGGAAAGACTTATGTTAGTATCTAGCAGTAGATGTGTTAGTCGGTAAGAATTGTATGGGTTTATAATTGTTGAACATGAAAATGGAACGGATGGAGGATTTCAACTGAATCAGGAAGTATGTGTCATACAGAAGAGTATGTCAGTTATTTGATAAGAGTGTATAATATATAAGAAAGCATCCAGCAGCAGAAAGTAAAGTTCATTTGCAGTATGTCACAGCCGAAGTAAACGTAGGTTTCATTAAAGCCGCGGGTACACTTATATGACCAACTGTGAGCATGAGCATTATTTGTATATTAAATTATAAGCAAATCCATGGTCACACTTGTATAGTTTTAGGATGTGCTCATAATTTATTATACAAATAATGCTCATGTTCATAGTTTGTCGTACAAGTGTATTCGCTGTACAACTTTCCTGTAGCAATTACCTTCTCATGAATATTTCAACCAAAAGATTTGGGATATCATGGCTGAATTTGTACCTATGGCCACAGCCACCGTGGTCCAATGGGCACCTGTGTTGACGGAAACGGTACAGGACCAAATCGTTCTATCGTTACTATACCACAGACAAACATACATAACAAATTGAATATTTCTCACTGTAAAACATTATCGCCATCTTCTTCTTTACTTTATTTAACGACGGTTTCTGTTCCGCAATCTAGTGCCAATCACCAACGGATATCGATTGCCATCCATTGACGGCAATCGAATGTGCAGGAAGGCAGCTTCCACACCTGCGTAGTATATCGCACCCATTCACAACACACATGGGCCGGGACCAACGGCTGCACTTCCCTTCCGAAGGAAGACGTGACCAGAGGTTTTTATGCCTCAGAGAAATCCCACCGACCTCGACTGGGATTGAACCCAGACCCATTGGGGTGAGAAAGTAGTAACGCTTACCACTGGCGATACTACCATCTGTTGAGCACACTGTGGTGAGCAGTACGGCGTAACAGATGGCGGTAGTGTGTAAACGTCAAACGCAAGGGAATTAACTATGCGCGCCACAGGTGGCGATACTACCAACTACGATACTTTTTAAATTGACCGTTATACCAACAATCAATACGAAACTAACGATTTTAAATTGGCTCACTACTTGACTAGCCTATTGGTCCCAAGCAAAAGATTAACGTACCCCATTCTAGTCGAAATTCTAGTACTACACAATGTTTGTTTTGATTCGCTATGAAAGTTTGACAGATAAAATGAGGGGTTATTGGATTTTCCTATGTTTCGAGGGGTGAATCGATTAGCTTGGGACCGAAGATAGTACACTCATAAAATTCGACACATTTTTATTGGTGGATTTCCATGTAAAATTCCACATGATTTTCATGTGTCCACACGTAAACAGAATCTACTCAGAAGTACACATGAAATTTATGAGTCAAATATATAGTATGTGTGATTACATATGAACTTTATGTGTACACATAATAACTATGTGTCCAACACATATATAACATTTGTTTATCACATTGAAAAAATTCCTTTGTGGGACACATAAAAATAATCATTGAATTTTTATTAGTGTACCAGAGCTGAGCCAAAAAGTTAAGCACGTTTCTTCGGGACCTTCTGGTCTTAGAGTTGCCTCTATATGGTTATATGTTGGTTATACGCTTGTTCGATGAACAACTTGCGAGTGTTATATCTGTTTGTCTGTGACTATACCGTTATACGCATAACTATCTCATGTCTATAATAGGAAATACAACAGCTTCCTGAATATTGACGAATGTATTTCGTACGTAGTCATCTCTTCGCAGAAATCCTAAGCGTTTCTGGTCATTTCAGTGCCAACACTTCAGAGGGGCGTAATTGCTTTTGTAAACAATGGCTTTAGCCGTCGATTTCTCGCAAATAAAAGCACACTCCTCAAAATTAACAATGATAGCTGGTAGAGGAAACATTCATCTACCTGTTGTTGTAATTGTGCCAACATTTCAAAGGGGCGTAATTGCATTTATAAACAATGGCTTTAGTCGTCGATTTCTCGCAAATGAAAACCCACCCCTCTAAATTACAAATGTTAGTTGATACAGGAAACATTCATCTGCGTGCTGGTGTCATTCATTTTCATGAGTGAGCTTTCATTCGCGAGAAATCGACGACTAAAGCCATTGTTTACAAATGCAATTACGCCCCTTTGAAATGTTGGCACTGAAATGCTTTTATTTTGCCAATCAAGAGCCACATGTGAAAAGGGCATACAAGCTTTTAGTAAACAAACCTTTGTAGTCCCTCTTCTCGCTAACTGATACTCGCCCACGCAAACTAACAATATCATCGGGAAGGGGAAAGTTTCCCCTATCCGGTGATGTTGATGGTTTGCGTTGGTGTCATATAGGTGGCGAAATAATTTTAGTAAAATTTTTCTCATTTAATGGGTAGTCTCAGTTTCCCTCGAAAATGCTTACTTTGTAGTCATTATTGGGTATTTTGCGGTTACCGTGTAAGAGAGACCAGCGGAGAAACTGTTATGATTCCAATCGAACTGTCAAAAGCGGTTCCAATCTGCAACGTTTACAAATGGTATTACCAGCGGAGAAAAAAAAATGAATTTGGCAACAAGATAAACATCAAAGCAATCCTGGCATCACTAGCACTAGCAATGATTTTTATACTCCTCGGTTTCTAGTGAATATAACACAATCGATCGAGACTAGCTATGGCAGATTATGCATGAATAGGGGTTTCCGCAAGGGGGACGAAAGTAATCCATTCTCCATTTCATTGAACGGATATCAATAAAATTTAAATCATAAACTGTCAAATAGAGTTAATATCACAAACGTTTGTGCTAATATACTATAGAGGAAGAATAGCGCTAGTGTTCCCTTTGTTCCGATGTTGAATAATAGCGAGTACAGAACTGTCAAACTGCATAGTTTTTTTCTCGCTTTGACAGTTGTGTCCCTAGTAGATGTAAGCCGGGACGGGACTTGACAATCCAGCTTCTCACTCTTCTTAATGTTTTTGATGAATGCCCGTCGAAAATTAGTACATGGTGTTTGACGGAGTTGACCAATGATGCCAGGATTGCAAACTGATTTTTCTGTTTTAATTTTAATTTGATTCGGAGTTTCTACCGCAGTTTAGCACCTTGTCATCATTTTTGCTTAACACAATAAAAACAACCATAAACAAACAATAATATCCATCTCTTAAAACACGCCGCGGACCCTATTTTCCAACTTTCCTTTCGCAAATATAAACTATTAACAACGCCATTGACGTCACCATTGGTTCCGGCATCACTGTCAGTCAGATTGATGCGATCCCTCTATCCTTTTTATTCCACGATTGCTACTGTCAAATCGACCAATCAGCAACTGGCTCGAATTTGACAGCAAATTGGCTCGAAATCGCTACCCGATTGTCAAGTCCCGTCCCAGGATGTAAGGAAAAGATTTTTTGACAGCGACGGCAGCGCTATTCTTCCTCTATAGTTTATTAGCTCTATTGTCTGTCACTTTCTTATTCGAGCCACAGTTTGTTCCGAGGGGGACGACCATAGAGGTAACTCTAAGACCAGAAGGTCCCGAAGAAATGTGCTCAACTTTTTGGCTCAGCTCTGGTACTCTCTTCGGTCCCAAGCTAATCGATTCACCCCTCGAAACATAGGAAAAACCAGAGAGAATAGGTAGAGAGGCGAAGAGTGAAAAACCGTGGAAACGGCAGCACTCTTTTTATTATGATTCCATCCTACAAGTTCTGGCAACTGTTTCTGAAGCGCACACTTCTAGTGACTTTTTTCAACCAGAGAGAATATATTCGAACAAATATATTCGCAGCGATTACAATACTTGCCTTCGCTAAATTGGGGAACATCAACTTTTGTTTATTTTGTTCGATAGGATACCAGTTTGACAGTTCGATAAGGTTTTTTTGCTTCACACTCTTCGCCTCTCTACCTATTCTCTCTGGGAAAAACCAATAAACCCTCATTGTACCTGTCAAACTTTCATAGCAAATCAAAACAAACATTGCGTAGTACTAGAATTTCGACTAGAATGGGCTACGTTAATCGTTTGCTTGGGACCAATAGGCTAGTCAAGTAGTGAGCCAATTTAAATTCGTTAGTTTTGTTATTTTTTGTTATTTTATTTATTTACATCAACAGGCTGGATGAAGCCCCAATGATTTAAACCTTATCAACTATGGTAAAAAAAATACATTCAAGCATGGTCATAACATAAAAAAGTTTCGTATTGATTGTTGGGACGACTCTATCTACGATGCAGGAAAGATTGTGGTTTGCTGTGGCTAGCTGCGCGTACGCTGAGTAGATAGAAAGAGGATTCATGGCGATTCCGAAGCTTTCCTGCAAAAAGATGATGCGTGATGTAAGTAGATGCGAGAAATTAAAGAAGATTTTTAGAAGATTGATTCGCTAGTGTGAGATTTTTCGAGCATCTAGCATTGAGATTTAGATGTGTCGCCCCCCTCGGTTTGTTCATAACTACACGGTAAGAAAAAAATACCCAAACGGCCCTTTTACCTACTTTTGACTAGTTTGTCTTCTTTTCTCTTTCTAATGTTGTCCGGAATAGTAAAACCAACAATCAATGCGAAACTAACGATTTTAAATTGGCTTACTACTTGACTAGCCTATTGGTCCCAAGCAAATCGATTAACGTACCCCATTCTAGTCGAAATTATAGTACTACACAATGTTTGTTTTGATTCGTTATGAAAGTTTGACAGATAAAATGAGGGGTTAGTGGATTTTCCTATGTTTCGAGGGGTGAATCGATTAGCTTGGGACCGAAGAGAGTACCAGCAAAACGAAGTAACAGGCGACTAACTGGCGAAGAAATCCATTAAAATAATGTGGTTCACTGTAATAGAATTTTCTTGGAAGCTTGGGTTAGTTTTTTTGTTTTGATTTGAACAAAGTTGATTTTGTGTACAATGATTCTTTGACAGTGTGCAAAGAGTGTATCATTTTGTCATTTTTTTATGCATTTCAGTTTAGAGTAGAATGAAAGAGATAGAACCAAAACATTCTAGTACATTTAGTGTTGCCATGTGGTACAATCCATTAGTAGCACAAACGAAGTGACAGACGGAGCGGCTCGAAAACTTTGGTGACTAACCTGCTATTGCAATTTTTCAGTGTACCACATGGCAACACCACTACTACTGGATTGTACCACAT